GGAAATGTACACAGGGAAATAGATTAGTTAGATTTGCACAAAGAATTGCTAAGTATCAACAGTAGCATCCGAGTTTGCTTTTAGTGCTGCTGGTCGTATTGGATTTTCGCATACCGACCGTGTTCGCCATAAATCCGTTTAAATTGGTTCGTTTCCGAAATTCTAGATATTCCGTAAGTTCGTGTTCGTTTTCGTGTCCGGCTTGTCTGCTTTCACTTTCGTATTTCAAATGTAAAAGTAGAAAACGGTTGAGGAGTTTTTCGACCGAGTTCGACCATTTTCATCCTTACTGCTAAGGTCCGACCGCGGAAATAGAATATCTCCACCATGTATGTAGGAGTTCATGTCGACCAAAAGGTCCAAGTAGTCGAGTCGAATCCCACATATATTTATCCAGTATATATGACAACAAAGAAAATATACTAATAGAGGAAGATCTCATTTTCGCATCCGTGCTCAGTCCCCTCGCAGCATATTCTTTACGCGAAGGATTACGGTATTACTACCAGTTTATAATTACCACACTATCAAGTTCTCTGAAGTGGCGGATCTAAGACAAAATCGAGAGGGGGGGGGAATAAGCTGTTGTGCTAGGCTCTGACTACTACCGTGCTACGTTGCTGCTTGCTAGTGCGGGCGTTGTGTTGCGCTGCTGCTCCATGGGCGTGGGCGCGGTAGGGGGGGCTTGAGCCCCCCAGCCCCGGTGGCAGATCCGCCACTGCATGTCGCGATGTTCGTCCTGATAAATTTGTATAGATAAATTTGTATACTTAAGTTTATTATATTTATAAATATGTACACTTGATATGTTACATGCATAAATATCTATATTTGGTTCTTTTCACATGCATAAATATATATATACATACCAAAATAATTGATTTTTACTCAGATAAATATATATAAATGTTAGAATACTTGATTTTTTACATGCACATATATAATTATATGTATTTTTTAAAGTACAAAACCGTTTAGACCGTTTAACTTTGTTTAAACACCGTGTAAACAGGCTAAATGCTAAACGAAGGGCGACCGTGTAAAGACCGTTTACCGTTTAGGAAAACGTTGGTTGCAACACACTTGGACACAACTGCTAGTTAAAATTAATTCTCGAAGGAAAATATGAAAAACAAGCGGCATTTTCTTTCGTGAACCAATCGTTTCACAAGAGAACACAAATACGCCGATGTCCCCTGTTTTCCCGAGGGGACCCCGCCCGTCGGATGCGAGACACGGACGGCCCGCGTCCGGCGCCGCCCGATCTGGGTCACGCCCCCCTGGTCTAGCGAAACAGGGCACTACACGTGTACAGGGCCAGATTTCCCGTCGCCGACGCGGTTAGTGTGTCCCATCTGGCACCTCCGGGCCCACGCGCCAGGGAGGCCGCGCCCGCTTTTAAATAGCGCCTCTCCCCCGGCGGAATCGGAGGCGGCCAGGCTCCCTCCTCCCCCCGCAAATCCTGAACACACCACCACTCGTTTTCCTCTCCGGGACAGGAGAAAAGGGGAGAGGGGCGAGGCGCGGTGTCCGCCCGATCTGCTCCGCCCCGACGCAGCTGTTCCGTCGTTCTCAGTCTCAGGTATCCCATTAGCCTTCCTGGATTAAATTTCCACTGCCACTGTTTCATAGATTGCTCTGAATGGATTGTTGAGGAATCGGTTACTTTTCCATTGCCCGGGTTTCGATTTTGGGTTGCTGAGCTCGGCAACAGTCTGACAGTTCGCCGTAGCGGGCTCGTGGCCGGCCGTCGGTTCGGCGGCGGCAATCACTGTCGTGCCGGCGGGCCGGGCCGAGCTCGTCGTCGACGATCCGTAGCCTTCGGTCTGGGAAAGTATTGAGGATGCGGCTGAACTCGCCGTCGCGCCTGCCGGCCGAGCTCGACATCGATCTCACTCACCCGAACCCTCACCCGCGGGCATCCGCAGAGGCCTTGGCCTGCTGATGTGGATTTGCCTAGATGAATCCTGGCAAAGCACGCTTGTTTCTCATCAGATCTGTAGCGTAGAGTGGTGCCGTTTAGATATTTTGCCCGTGCAATGGGACCATGATTTCTGCCCCCCTTCTGCCGTTACCACTCGTTGTGGGAAACATGACATGCCACCTTTGGTCACAAACTTTTCACAGCTCCCGTTGATCTTGTGGATAAAAGCTGCTACCTTTACAGGTCTTTTGAGTCCAAAGGCAGCCTCTTTCTTTCGGCGTTCGGTCCCTCCATGTTGGGCATCGCTGCGCCTGCGCCGCATGATGATGCTCTGCATTTGTGGTCAACTGCTCTGTTTTTCGAGCTCCTGATTTTTTACTGATACTATTAGCTAAGCGCGGAGTTGGCGATGACCGCACACAAGAATTGACTGACCTTTTAGCTCGTGCAACTGCTGCATCGACGAAGCAACTTGTTTTGCTTTGGTCATGTTTCTGACATAAAAAAAATATCTACTTCTCCAGATGGGAAACCGTATATGCTTTCTAGTGATTAGGTGCTAGGAATTTGGAGTATTAAAAATAAATAGAGCCTGTTTCTTTCGGTATCATGCCTTAGTTTCTCATTAAAATTTTACGCCCTATCATATTGAATATATATATATATATATATATAAAGTATTAAATATAGACTAAAAAATAACTAATTCTATAAATTACAACTATTTTACGAGACGAATCTTTTAAACCTAATTAGCATATGATTTAATACTTTAGTGCTACAGTAATAGGTTTAATAAATTCGTCTCGTGTTGCACGCGCTCGAGGGCAGGCTGGCGGCGGGGGCGGCGGCTCGTTCCGTAGTGCTTGTCTGCTTACCTAGAAAAAGGCATCGTGATGAACGAGGCGCCACCGTTGGATGTCTTTGGAGTTTGGACGGTGGCGACTGTCTCTTCCTCCCACGTAGGGTCAAAACCGAGACAGAGAGATTCACTGCCGGCATGGTGCATGTTAGGGCTCTGCAGCCGTGTCTGCGCAACGGTACACGACGCAGGGGGTCACAGCCTGCAAGGTCGGCAGGGGCGGCACCGAAATCCAGGCCCACAAGTGTCCAGAGGCGTGCACCAGCAGATCTGGGTACGCTTGGCCCCTCTTGTGACTGGTTTTTCACCTTGGCCTGGTCTGCTGCAACTGGCTGTGTAATGGCACTGATGCCCTTGTTATACTATGCTGCATTCAGGGGCGGAGTTACGTGCATTCATTGGGGTCAGCGGACCCCAACGAAATTTGCTAATCCTTCAATAATTATACCATGAGAATGACAAATCACCTCTTCAAAATATATAAGATTGCAAAAGAGACCCTAATGACCCCGGTGGTATAAATTTCTAGCTTCGCCAATGGCTGCATTGCTGCTACTGCTATGGCCATGGTACATGGTAGTCGCATGTGCCATTTGCAGCCTGCTTGTTTGGCTCTCCCGCAGTCCAATCAGAAAGTTAGGGAGACAAATCAGTCGGGCGCACTTGTCTTGTCAGAATTAATGCACAGTATCAACACAGCCAAGCATCTCTTTCGACGGATCTGATTTCTGTCTCCATCTTGGCGCCATAGTTGGCGGGTCGAGAGGACACGCTTATGTCATTTTGCTCAAAGGCCCAAGGGAGACAGTTAGCATCCGAATCCACCTTGTGGGAGCACATGTGCAGCTACTGGATGCTGCACTACTAAAGTTACTAATGAACGCCCAAAATTGGTAACAAGATGAAGCAGACAGGCAACGAAAATCGAACCTTTCCTAATTTTCGCACCAAAATAAGCTGGTTCTTAGATTTACTAATACGTTGTGCTTCTTTTACATTGCTATATGTGGCTTCACTAGGCTATCGTCTTTCAACCTTTTCCTTTTCTTCATTAGTTCTTAGCTTCTCCTCCTTGCCCGGTCTTATGACCGGATTGTAAATCGAACCGTTTTACCACCACCTTCAATGCAAAGGAAGAGCACCAGCCATCTTATGCTAAAAAGAAAAATATGGGGTGCCTCTAGGCTCTGTTAGGTTGTTGCTTATAGAAAGATGACTTCAGAGTTCATATTTGCTGGCTTGTCAAAATTGACCACTCCTACAGATGATGCAAGATTGCCTTGCCGTATGGCTATTGGATAGCTTAGATTTGACCAGATGTGGTACCATTTTTTTGGTCCGAACTTGCAATGAATCTTTCTACACGCCTTTTTGGCACCTGTAGTCTCTCATGCGTGCTGCTTTCCTATAAGGTTCAGAAGTCCTTTTGACAAAGCATGCCGTCCAATTATATGCAGTACAGTACATCACATTTTTCTCAAGGGGATTGTTGGGACAGTTAGTGGCACGTAACATCACACGTGACATGACCTTAATCTATTTTCCACTTATTTAATTTAATTTATTTACCATTACCATAGGGGTTTTCTACCATACTTGGTCTTGTTGTAAGACTTTACATTTTATTAGTTCTGTGTGGTGATTCAGATCTACAGGTTTAGACACATCTGAAGCAGAGCGTGCGGCATCTCAACTCATGATGCACACTCACTTTGAAAAAGCGATTCTGAATTCTGAACATGTATGTATGTTACATACGCCATTGGGCTCACACATGCTGCGATCGATGCGATCCCCAACTTGCTGTGGCACATAGGAATATGTTTAATCAATGTTTAGGCAAGAAAGTGATGCGATCGTGCACGGCACATGCCATCTTTGTGGAGACGCCCCTCGTGCCGTGATTTGTTTTATTTTGGTTGATTGATGCCTTTCTTGTACCCACGCTGAATCTGTGCCAACTTGCTAGATATTTTTTCTTGTTCACATGACAGCTTTTTGATTGGATGAGATCGTTGTAATATTCGGCGTGTTCGGATGGTCCGATGAACAGTGGATTTTCGACTGGTTTTGGATGATTGAATAGTGTTCTATGAGAGAGAATAAGCTGAACCAAGCCCGGACTATACCAGCCAAACACGACGATTGTTCTTGATTCACACTTGCTTGATCTTTGTTGTAACGTATCTCGTTTGTGTTTGTGTCAGCAGCAAAATGGGTGCCGGTGGCAGGATGACCGAGAAGGAGCGGGAGAAGCAGGAGCAGCTCGCCCGTGCTACCGGCGGTGCTGCAATGCAGCGCTCACCGGTGGAGAAGCCGCCGTTCACGGTGGGTCAGATCAAGAAGGCCATCCCGCCACACTGCTTCGAGCGCTCAGTGTTGAAGTCCTTCTCCTACGTGGTCCATGACCTCGTCATTGCTGCGGCGCTCCTGTACTTTGCGCTGGCCATCATACCGGCACTCCCAAGCCCGCTCCACTACGCGGCCTGGCCGCTCTACTGGATCGCCCAGGGGTGCGTGTGCACTGGCGTGTGGGTCATCGCGCACGAGTGCGGCCACCACGCCTTCTCGGACTACCAGCTCCTGGATGACATCGTTGGCCTGGTGCTGCACTCGTCGTTGATGGTGCCGTACTTCTCGTGGAAGTACAGCCACCGTCGCCACCACTCCAACACTGGCTCCCTGGAGCGTGATGAGGTGTTCGTGCCAAAGAAGAAGGAAGCGCTGCCATGGTACACCCCGTACGTGTACAACAACCCCGTCGGCCGGCTGGTGCACATCGTCGTGCAGCTCACTCTCGGGTGGCCACTGTACCTGGCCACCAACGCGTCGGGACGCCCGTACCCGCGCTTCGCTTGCCACTACGACCCCTACGGCCCGATCTACAACGACCGGGAGCGTCTCCAGATCTTCATCTCGGACGCCGGCGTCGTGGCCGTGTCGTTCGGGCTGTACAAGCTGGCGGCGACGTTCGGGTTCTGGTGGGTGGTGCGCGTCTACGCCGTGCCGCTGATGATCGTGAACGCGTGGCTGGTGCTCATCACCTACCTGCAGCACACCCACCCGGCGCTCCCCCACTACGACTCGAGCGAGTGGGACTGGCTGCGCGGCGCGCTGGCCACCATGGACCGCGACTACGGCATCCTCAACCGCGTGTTCCACAACATCACGGACACGCACGTCGCGCACCACCTCTTCTCCACCATGCCGCACTACCACGCCATGGAGGCCACCAAGGCGATCAAGCCCATCCTCGGCGAGTACTACCAGTTCGACCCAACTCCTGTTGCCAAGGCGACCTGGCGCGAAGCCAGGGAGTGCATCTACGTCGAGCCTGAGAACCGCAAGGGCATCTTCTGGTACAACAACAAGTTCTAGCCGCCGCTTGCAGAGCTGAGGACGGAGGCGATCGCCCATACTTTTACCCTAGGAATGGGAGGAGAAATCAGGAGAAGATGGTAGTCGTACCAAAGTCTCCATCTACCTATCTATGGTTAGTCATCAGTCTATTAGACAGGAAGAGAGCATTTGGGCATAGAGAAGGCTTACTGCAGTGCCATCGCTAGAGCTGCCATCAAGTACAAGTAGGCAAATTCGTCAACTTACTGTGTCTCTGCCCATGGCTCTGAGCTTTGAGTAGTCCCAAGTTGTTTTTTCTCGTTTGCGTCTTAGTCGTCGCTGTTGTAGGCTTGCCGGCGGCGATCGTTGTGTGGTTGGCATCCGTGGCCATGTCTGTGCGTGCGTGGCCGCGCTTGTCGTGTGCGTCTGTCATTGCGTTGGCGTCGGCGTCGGCGTCATCTCTTCGTCCTCCCCGCTGTGTTGTTGTAAAACAAAATATCCTGGTGTCTTTGGCGGAATTACAGATCGTCGAACGACAACTTTTTTGGGCAGTTGTAGTGGATTTCCGAGTCGGATCACGCACACACGATTCTCGTGTCGCGTTGCTCGTTTCTGGGTGTCGTCTTTGCTAGCTGGCTCTATCTGCCAAGATTGCCCCGATTGACTCCCTACAAATCCATCCACACAAAGGATGTGTGGTAAGCAGGAACTGTTCTGCCCCAGCGGAATATACCCCGATTGACTCCGCTTGGCTGTAGTGCCAATTTGCAACACTGTGGTCCTTGCACAATGCTTATCGTGTGGATGGAAAGGAACTGCTCTCTGTGCCAATCACCTGCCCGGGAGGACCAGTGTTTTGCTCTCGGCACCGGCTCAACTGTCTTACGGATGGAAGCTAAACTCGTTCATACTGAACCCATCAACGTACATTATTGTGCTGGTACCTTATTCCCCCATCAGATGCCCATTCTTGTGTCACAAATCTCGTGTCTTGGCATGACGTCCAAGAAATTCAGTATCGGTCTCTATCCACTCCACGCGTCTTATCCGCAGCCGCTGATGCCATCGAAATGTCGCCAGGAGAACTCAACTTCACCGGCCGGCCGCCGGTCGGCGCTATCCATCCCTCTCCGGCTACAGTGATGCCTGCGGCCGGCGCTATCCATCCCTCTCCGGCTATAATGATGGGCACCGCAGAACCGTGCGCTCGAGTCCACGCCACTTGGAGATGCCGAGATGGCACATGGCGGGTCAGTCAGGCACTCAGGCCCATGGTCACAACTTTTTTTTTTTTTTCGAATAGTACACGCATACTCGAGTGCAGGTGCAACGTCGTACTGCCCTGTACAAGATCACTGCTCTCCATGATCCGCCCGGTGTCAAGCGAACCAGATATTGTAATGGCGCACGGATCGACCGGCGACCAGACGGAACTGTTTTTTTTCTTTAATAAGGAAACTGGAGGGGCCGCAGCCCCTATAGAGAATTTTATTAAAAGGTAAAACAAAAGTAATTACAAAAAAGAAGAAGCTACAAAGAGTAAAAAAAGGGGCTGTTAAGAAATAGAACAGCTCAAGACAAAGAAAAAAATAAAGAAAATAAGGCTTAGACCGGGTTCAGATCGTTCTTAAAGATTGAGTCCATTGATGAAACAGTCTCGAGAGACTCGTTTTCACCTTAGGTAGACCAGTCTTACTTGTTTAAGAAGGACCCTTCTGCAATCTTGTATGCTTACTTGATTTCCATTAAAGATCAGCTCATTTCTGGCCAACCAAATCGTCCAGCACATGACAATGACTGCCACCATGAAAAACTGAGAATGGATTTGATCTTTGAAGGCAGAAAAATTCTTAAGAATCCCATTATCTAATGAGGTTATCAAATTGAGCATGTCCCAACATTGCTGAGCGAAAGGAGAATGCAGGAAGAGATGTTCAGCAGTTTCTTCAACCTGAAGGGAACAAAGCTCACAGTTATGCAGTTCAAAAAAAAAAAAAAATCGCAGTTATAGGTTTCCAGGTTCATGTGCTTCCTTCTAAGAATATTCCTCGTACTTAGCCTGTCTTTGAGAAGCAACCAACAAAAAAACCTTGTGCTTAGGCTGACAATAACACTTCTAACCGTCCTCGGCCGTCCTCTACTTCGCCAGCCGTTGCTGCCGTCTTCGACCTTGGGGCTTGCCTCGCTTGAGCGCTCCTTGAGCTCCGGCCGCCTCGCCTGGGCCCTGCTGGTGCCCAGGCATCGTCTCGGCCTCGTCCCTTGGCGCTTGCTCGAGCCTGAAGGATGTCGCCTTGAACCTTGCACTCAAGGTGCTCGAGGTTTTGCGGCATTGACAAGTCCCCGTTGAAAAGCGAAGCTGCAGGCTGAATGGGGCCAATGGTTGGTTTTCCGTCGCTGGTCGCCACCTCAAGGTGTGTGTCGCCCCTTTTCCCCCCTCCTGTGTTTAAGGTGTGTGCTCTCAGTGCTTCCATGCATCTGCCGGGGCTTTCCTTCACCCCTGGTGTGCGGATTCAAGGGGAAGTCTGGAGCAAGTTTGGTCTTCCCGTTTCCTGGCCGGACCTTGTTAGTTCTTCGTTTGCCCTGGTTGTGGTGTTTGGAAGATGCAAATTCCGCCTCTCGACTGAATCTGTGGCCATTCTTCTTCAAGCCACCATTGGTGGTGCTGCGTCTCATTTTAAAGTTTCTCATCTTCAAGACTGGACCTTCAAATTCTTTGTTTCCTCCAAGCGGGTTGGCTTCTTTGTTCCTAACCTTCGATCCTTCACTTGCGACGCCTATTAGCTCACCTTCCACCTCTGGGGTAATGGCGGGCCAAATTGGACCGCGGAGCTAAATCTCTATCTGCAGGAGGAAGAAAGGTCCTGCACGCCTGCTGGCACTAAGGGCTCAATAAAATCGTTTGCTGACGTGGTTAAGCAAAAACCCCTCTCTGGTGCCAATGTCGTTCCTCTTGGTTATCAGAAACCTTCTTTCACTGGTGCTAATGCCATTCCCGTTGAATCCAGACATCGGAGAATTTCTGTTTTTAATCGTATTGAGTTTCCTCCTCGCTCTTCTTCCGCGCGCAACTCTATCAAGTTTCCAAATTTGAATAGCAAGGCCCAGGCTCTGTTCTGCATCCGCTGCCTCTCGAGTGGTCACCGTAGGGTCAATTGTATACGGCCTATCAGGTGCAACGCGTGCCTTGGCTGGGGGCATGTTGCAGCCTCGTGCTACGGTCCTAAGGAAGACTCTCAGCGACAGGATATCTCTGGTGAGCGACAGGATATCTCTGGCGGTAATGGCAGGGCAGCTTCGACATCTAACCCGGGATTTCAGGCCAAAGGCAAAGGCAAGGCAGAGGTGCCAATTAATTCGGGCCGGTTTACAGTTGTGACTGATATGCCTTCTACCTCCAAACCTCCTATCTTTAATTCCTTTGCTGAAATGTCTCGGGCCTGCTTCCCTTCTTGGGCCACCAAGGCAACCGCGCTGGCCTTTACTGTTCCTTGGTCTCTACGGCCCACGCGCGCCGCCCCTTCCTCCACTGTGCAGGCTCTTGACCCCCTGTCTTGGACGCTCCATGTCCCTTCGTATTCTTCGTCTTGCTTGGCTAGTTCTAGCGCGGCACCTGTTCCTAGTGTAAACTCCCTCCCCGTGCCTCAGACCTCCTTGCCTCCTCCTTCTTCTCAAGCTGCGATCATGGTGTACCAGCGCGCCGACCCCTCTCCCTTCATCCCGCACAACATGCAACTCCAAGAAATCCCCAACCGGGAGTTCATGACCCGTGCTGTTGCGCCACTCACGCCGCCGGCGGAAAACGAGGACCTCGCCATTGCCGTCTTCGACCCTCTGCCTGGTAATGAACTTCAATTTGCTGCTGTTCGGGGGGTTCTTAGGGATTTCTTGCGTGATGAGGTGCATATTGCTTTTCGGGATATCCAGCCCACTCACTTGGGTCTGGCTATGGTTAAGTTTGCTCATGTTTATGATCGGGATACGTTGGTTTTGGATAGCCCTCATATTTTTGGCAATGTCAGTGTCTCCTTTGTCAAGCATAATGAGGGAAGGAACTGTCGTAGGCTGCAGTTCGATCATCATTGTTGGTTGCTTCTTCTAGGATTTCCCATTGACTATCGCACTGAAAGACATATTCAGAAGCGGTAGGCAAGTTTGCCAAAGTCCTGCTCTGGGAAGCAAGTGAAGCACACATGAATCGTCTGCTAGTTAGGGCTCGTGTGAATGATCTTCAGAAGGTGCCGCAGTTCATTGTGTATGTTAGATGAATCAGAGGGCAGGTGGAGGAACGCCGGCCCCTGTCTTGGGTACCAGGCGGATGCGTGTTGAATCAATTGATGGTTGGAAAAGCCCCAACCGTGGCATACAAATAGGTGTACACCGATCACAGTCCGTAACTCAAGGAGCTATATTTGGTAGCCTATAATTACACGCCATTCTATTCTCAATGAGATCCTAAAAGTCCGGACTGTTCTCTGTATACACGGTTTGTTACACAAGGCAAGATACGCACAGCAGATTCTTCTAGAACTCTTTCATCTAACATCCTCCCTCAATCACAGCCGAGATAGGTTGAGGTTGAACTTGAATTGTTCCAGAGACCGAACTGGCAATGGCTTGGTGAAACCGTCTGCAACTTGATCACCTGAAGATATAAAATAAATATCCAGAAGTCTTCTAGTTACTTGTTCTCTGACAAAATGATAATCCACTTCTATGTGTTTAGTCCTAGCATGAAAAACTGGGTTTGCTGACAAGTACTTTGCACCAATATTATCACACCATAGTTTAGCTGCTCTTAGGCAATTAATCTTGAGTTCATATAGTAAAATCTGGATCCACATCACCTCAGCAGTAGCATTGACAATTGCTTTGTATTCAGACTCAGTACTAGACCTTGATACAGTGGGTTGTTTCCTTGAACTCCAGGACACTAAGTTTGATCCTAGAAAGACAGCAAAACAACCTGTAGATCGCCTGTCATCTATATTACCAGCTCAGTCTGCATCAGAAAAGGCACTCACCAAGGTAGATTGTGACTT